TATATATTATTATATATTATTATTCATTATTATATATTATTATATATTATTATTCATTATGATTGATTATTATTGATTATCTGGGCTCACAGATTCCCACTGGATCTATAACTCACTGAGGATATTTTCTGTGGTCAGTTTATGAAGTTGAAGCAGGTTAAATCTGTTACTGATCTGTTATTGATTTTATTTTCTCTATGGGACATTAATAATAATAATAATAATAATAATAATAATATAATAATTAATAGTGTTCACTGTCTGAGGTTTAAAGGAGCTTTGATGAATTTAGATTATTAAGAATATATTTATAAATTATTAGTTTATTACAACTGTGAAAGTTGAAATGTCTCAAACTACTTTAATAAAGTCTACAGGGATGTGACACTTTTAAAGTTACAATAAACTAATATAATACTGTTTATATAAATATATACATATTGTACTAATGTTTATCTTATATTCAACAGTACAGGGTTATCACTTTAACAAGGTCATTGCATGACCAAAAAGTGTGCTGATCTGTCAAAAACTGATCTAGGAACAGACAGAGATCATTTTACTGAGCCAGAGCAGAGTAGTTTTCTGAATTATTAACAAAGCACTTACCTGTGTCCTCCTCTCTCCTCAAAGAGCTTTGGCTCTGACAGGTTTTATCATATATGTACATTGAGACCACAAACACCCAAAATAAAAAAGGATAAGTGTATAGGAAGTCTCTTTGCTCAAACTCAGTGGCTGTTCTGTTTGTACCAAGAGTCATTTTCACGTTTCTTGCAATCTAAACACTTCTGAATTGAATTCACTGACAATTCAGTAACAAAAATGCAAACCTCCTCTGCCTCCGACCCCATCATGTTGCTTAATATCTCATTTAAATTGTTTCCACAGTATGTTGCCTTTTTATATAAAACATATTTTGTTTTTGTTTTTTTAACTACATGAAAACATTAGAAAACAATTACAACAAAAACACAAAAACCCTCTAAATCTCCTCTCTGGTGTCCAGAGCAACATATCCAGCAAATTGCATTGCATTAGGAGTCCTCAAGGAAGTGTTGGAGGAAGTCCACTGGATAATCCGTCCTCCTTCTCTTGTTAAAATGGGGATCATGTCGGAAGATGAGATGGCAGCTTGGATGAGAGGGGCTACCTCTGCAAGGGGAGGACTGAGGAGAGCTGGAACGTCAGAGATGGACGCTGTGATCTGGGCTCAGAACCTGAGGTGAGATTTGTGTTTCACCATGTATCTGACAAAAAAAAGAGAGGGGAAGAAAGGTGAGTGTGTGCAATGCTGTTGTATTCACAAATGGAAAAAAAATATTCTCTACAAGTAACAAATAACAGTAGCATAGGAGGCAAACAAACAGATGGGGATAGATGAACAGGTACAATAATAAAGACAGACCTGTCGAGGGTTTCCCAAAAGCGCAGGAAGACAGGCCGGTCCAGATGGCGCCTGTGGCGGCTCAGCTCCAGGACGGTCACATCCCACTTCTGCACGTTGGGGTCTGTCTTTGCCTCATCATACTTCAAATGAAAGGCTCGAACTGGAGGAGAAACATGCACGCACACATTTATATAGATAATCCGGGTTGAGTCACCCTCACAGTGGTGGCACCACACTTTTAAATCTACGCAATAACACCGCAATGTGTGGAAAGAAAATGACGAGGGGATCCTGTGGAACATGTTGCATGTTATAATAGGCTTCTAGAAAAGGGCTGTAATCTAAAATACTCTTTTCCACATAATATAATCCTACAACCCATACATAATCAGTTTGCAATCATATAAAAACAGAAAATCCTCAAATTGAAGAAGTTGGAACATTTAACATTTAAATGGCATTTCTGCTTGAAAAATGACTCAATCGATGTTAACATAGTTGCAGATTAAGTTGCTGTTGATCACCTGATCGTTTCAATTTATTAATTTAATCTGCTGGAGGAAGTGATTGCCAACAGTGATCAACCAAAACATCTCTCATTTCCACTGTCAGCTGTGGGGATTCGTCTATACAGTACTTCTTTACGTATTTAACACTCACAAACCAGTACAAATGTATTTATTTAAGTTATGCTGGGCATTTATGAATGGGCACAAGCTTTCTGAACTGGGTTGTCTTGGGATTTTCGCAGCGTCTTGCTTGTGATGATTTTCATGCTTAATTCAATGCAAGCAATGAAGGCAAAGCTCGTGTAAATCATGTTTTTATATATATATATATAGTAATAATTATATATATATAAAAAAAACATGATTGTAAATATTCTCATGCATCATACCAGGTCACAGTCAACAATAAATAAATAAACTTCAATTCTTTCATTAACCTTGGAGTCAAAAGTGTGACCAATTCAGTGTTTGATCATTGACCATCGAAATCTAAATCAGTTCAGTCTTCAGTCCAAGTGCACATTTGTGCAAAATTTGAATAAGTTCTCTTGAGCCAGTGCCAAGATATCCTGATCACAAGAAAGGGACAGACGGACAACCCAAAAACATAAACACATCGCTGGTGCAGAGGCATAAAAACTTCTGATAAATAGTTCACTCTGCTATTGTGATCAATAAACTCTGAAGCTCAATTCTAATGCTGTTCTGTAAATAGCTTTGTAATAAATATAGCTGATCAATTTCAGGCTCAACTTAACAATTCCACTAACGTCTGCTTTAAACCCTGCCCATTCCCAGTACAGATACAGATCATTTAGTTGATAGAAAAGCTACAGATAACAGTGCACTTGCTCATCTCTGCCATTTAAATACTGCAGCATTTCTGTCAACTTCACTCTCTATCACTCACTTTTGGCGAAAATGTCCACAGGAGATCCATCAGGCAACAGCCATGGCCAGCCTTTGAACTGCCAGGCAGGACCCTGCACGAACACGGCCACCACTCGGTCCCTGCAGAAGAAACATTCACAGGTTGATGTTGAAGAGACTTTACGTGTTTGTTTATGTTGTTGTTAGCTTGTAGATTTAATGCACTTTATACTGTATGGTTTGGGTACTGAGGGATTACATTTAAAGTAGAGTATGGACGGTGGAGTTAATGTAATGAAAATAAAACCGAGAGGAAATGAAAAACAAAAACAAAACCACACTAACCTATCCCAACACAAAAAGTAACTAACAGGACTACAAAGCATTTTGAAACAAATTAGATTATTAGACAATTTTGGAAATATACACAATACTTGTGCTTATAACACAGACTACATGTTTAAACCTGAGTCATATTTGTCAAGCACTAATGACTCACTCTCAGATGCTGAGGAGTGGACTGACAAGTGGCTATGACTAAGGCAAACAACAGGCTGCGCTCCCCCCCAGAAAGACAGAATATGAAGTGGAAAAAGATTAATTTAAGATTAAATCCCTTGCATACGTTAATAGACAACACAGGAATGTATGTACTGAATGTAGTATTTCATCAAACCTGGTCATAGTAAAAGAAGCTACTAGAAATTATTAAATATTATTATTATTATTAATGGTTCTCTCCACATACTGTTCCTGCTTGGTGGGAAAATGTTGACAAATTATTAAACAAAAATGAAATACATGCTCACCAGTCCTGTGGAGCCAGTTTGAGCGGCTGGTCAATGATGCGGTATGGTACAGTGACACTCAGTGTTGTGCCACCAGGCTGGATCTGGTCTTTGCGTCTTTGAAGCAGGACCTCATTGTCGCGTTGGATGCCCTGCTTCTTCTTCTCTTCTGGCGTGACAAACCTGGTACGGTACAAACAATGTTTATATTCATTTCTTTTTTTAGTTTCTGCTTTACCTCATTTCACTTTAGACATTAGATTCAACTGAACAATCACTAAACCCCTCCCCCGAACAGTGACTGTCCAATTGTAGATTAGCAACCTTAGGCATAGCGTGTCTGTCAAGCTTTGGATTTGTCGACATGATGAACATGTGCGTGCATGAGGCTGTAGTCAGAATGATACTAGTTTTGTTTTTAGTTTGAATGTCAAGTTTTTTTACCCTCTCCACAACCCAAAATACAAGAGCAAAAATCTAATAAATTGATTTGAACAGTGCGTTTCTCTGCTCTAATCTAAGCTGCAAACATTAGCATGTCTACACAGCATTACTACCAAAGCCAAGAGATCATTAACTACCTACATTAGTTTGTGAGGTAACCACTTGCATTAGAAGGTTGCAACTCAACCAACTCATGGAGCTACCATTAGCTTATCTAGCTAACTAGCTACAGCAGATCATAGCGACAGTTGTCATTCAGCCAACCAAATGGGTCAACAGCTGATTTAGTCTACCTCTGTCTGAAATCAGTGATACATTGTTTAAAACAAGTTTGAAGAATTTTGAATGGTAAATCGGCGGCTGTCAAGAAGGCTCGACAGGCAGAGCAACAGTAACAAATAGGGAGATTAAGCTGTCATGGGTGGCACAGTGTATGATGTTATCACCTAAACCTCCTATAAACAACACAATATTAGTCATCACTTTAAGCCTATTTTTTTTTTACTGGGTTGCATTATTCCAGCAGTGTATTATAAAAAAGCTAAATGCACTTGTTGCACTGTTTTTTTTCCCCCTAAACTTTATTGGTTGCTTATTTCATAATCTATATATTTAATCTTATAAAGTGTTCAGGGGCTTTGAGAGATCCCAGGGCTCAACACTAAGGACTGCCAGAGTGCAATAAAATGCCACTTAGGCTAGAAATCTGGCGAAAAAGAACGAGCTTTTTCTGGAGCTGATGATGGAAATAGCTTAGTAGTGAGCCATCTTGCTTCCTTCTCATCTCTGTTGAGAGTTACACATGCACTGCGCATGTGTAACTCTCAACTGGACTGGACACGAGAAAATGGTTGTGAGTATAGAGAAAGTTTATGAGCGGTGTCGCCAGCCATTTTTGGTAACAGGTCAAGTGTGTAATATGCAAATATGTGTTTGTTTCCATTGTCCTCTTGTCAGTCTAACATGAGTAACACGTTACATTGAACTGGCAAATACGTAATCTCACAAAATCCACAAAGAAATGTAATTTATATTCCTACAATTAATTCCTGGCCAACATTATGGCAGGACATTTCTTCTCCTTTGGGACTGGCTCTCATCATAGCTGCTGTATTCATCAGTTACAGATAATTTGAAGCATAGATAATGTGTTTTATTAACGAGAAGATCTTTTCCAGCCCCGATTCTATCCCTGTCGCATTCAAAACTGGACTTTCATCCTTTGTAATCCCTTGTTACATCACAGTTTACAATGAATAGTGTTAAAAGTGTATTCATCTTTTTATCTGGGCTGCTTCTCAAGCAGTTGTTATATAATCATGAACTGTCATTATCCTGTTAGCACATTACTTCATTGCTGTAATTATAGAGAAAGTGGAAATTGTGGCACTGGGTGTAACAAAGCAAAGTGTGCATTGAGTACATGATATGCTTATGTGTACTTAAACTACTTCAATTGAATTAGGAAGGAATACATTAGGCTTAAGCTTGCATAGTATCGATTGATGCAGTGACAGAGGACAATTGGGAGTTTGCAGCCTACACAAAGTTATAGCCTACTAACGTTGTTTGTTGATTCCGATTTTATGAACTTACTGGGAAGCACGAACTGGACAAGACAAACGCTGTATGGAAATTTTGTCTCACAAAAATGAAATACTTGGTATGGTAATACAACAAATTTGAGGAACCACGTTAGCTGTTTTCACCCCGAGTTAATGTCTGCAACCATAAAGAATACAGTAATTTTATAAGAAGAGAGAAAAACAGTTATCCTTTCAATTCTTCTGGAATTTTTAGAAGCAAAGACTCTGTAGGAGCTGTAGGTGAAACTCAATCACAGAATCTAAATCAGCTAGTCGCGTTCCAATACGTTGGTTGCAATCAAATGATTCAGACAACACTCCAAGTTCAGAATGAGGCAGTAAGTGAAAGCCCATGGAGGCTGTGCAGCCATTGGCCACTACTATCTATATAACTAGCCAAGTTCCATATCAGCGCCCTTTAATTGGCCAACCCGATAAGTCGACCTGTACTAAAAAGCACATAGGACATGCAGAAAACGATCTAATGGGAAATTTGACGCTTCTCATTTATGAAAGTGCAACAGTGAACAGATTCAATGAAGATAAACAGAAAGATAAAAAGAGCAACGGGTATGTACACTCACTTTAGATCTTGCAGAAGATCCTTAGCATTGAGCATTGTGATGAGTGACGTGGTGGCAGCAGGGATAATGACGATGGGCGTCCGGGACCCTGTTGAGAAAGTAATTGAGAAAAATGGGTAATGTCAGACAGATGGTCAAATAAAGGCAGGCAGTTACACATCAAAGAATGGTTAGCTAGGACAGGTATTACATACTGTACAGTACAGTGTATTTTACATGAATGCTCGAAACATAGTATCTAACTGAGTGAAAGTAATGTACCTTTCTTCTGGTTTGGTGGCGGTCTGGCTTGTGAAACTAGAGGGGAAAAGAGACAAGAAAAACTTGAAAAATAATGACAAATGATCCTCAATAAAACTGCTTTGCTGTTTTACTGCTATAGGTTAATCCTGTTATGATTTATTTTCCGGCTTATGAACGGCTTCACTAACTACTAAGTTACAATAACTAGTAAAAATATAAAATGCTTTAGCTGAAGGTATAGCTGAACCATTCCTGGAAAATTACTGACTGCAGATAGCTTATTTAAAAAGCTAAAATAAAGTCAAAGACATAAAAGAGTGCTAGCAAAAGGGGTGAATGCCTGCGTTCCTTTCTCACATCTTCATCTAACAGTTGAGCTTCTCAATTATTCTATGTCACTGCTGTAGGGCAAATGTGCCACAGTCAACCAGTCAGGTCCTCAGAAGCAGATAAGTAAGTTTTTACCTACAAGGAATAAAGAAAGAAATAGACACAATAAAAAGAAGCCACTATATACAAATATA